GATCAAATGTTAATAAACATCTGTTCTATAGGTGAGAAAGATCTGATGTAGCTGCACTTATACAAGCCTGGAAAGTTGTGTTACGTCTCGACTCACACAGAACATGTGAAAACCATGTGTTAGTCAGATGATTGGGAGCAAATACCTGACACAGGTACAAACAATCTCCTACAGAGATTATTTTAAGATATTCTTGTTGCTCTGCAACACAGTTTGCAGCAGTTTAGCTAATCACAGTTACATAGTTAAGATAAAACTGCTGCAAATAAAAGCAAATGAAAAAAGTCAAATCTGTAACAAATGATTTACTGGGAAACTAAGAACTGCATCGTTCCTTGATGACATGCAAAATGTGTGAATTGCTTTTGTATTGGCACAGTGTGAGCCCCATGACTTGGATGTGATGCTGTAAGCACAGTGGAAAAATGTAAGTAACAGGAAAAGGTGCAAGTGTTTTAAAAATGTGATCACAGGCTAAAGTTATTAGCAGTAGGGCACAGCCGGGAGAAAAACACTTGACTACATTTTCGCAACCTCAATTAATATTTTCTATGTTGTTTTCGAGGGTTCAGAGCTGCCAATAAGTTGATCTAAGAGCAAACTTCACAGGCTGAAACTGCACACGCCTGCGGGCAGCCCAGCCCCCAACACTATTTACCTCTCTTAACGCAGCCCATTACCCCCGGCCCTCCACTGCATGCCACAGTCACAAATCTCAGCGTATGCCAAGGTCTAGCTTACAGCGACCCCCTCACCTTCCCCCTGCCACGCTCACTCTGTTAGACGTCACAAAGTGGATCCAGAAGACCGTCCAGCTTCCAGGACAACCCTGGCTTACACAGAATACATCGCAGAGCTCACCTACAGATCAATCTGTGGTCCAATCCAGGAGATAAAGTGATTCATAACTGCACATTAGTCATGCAGAGTTGTTTCATAAGGCAGCAAGAGAGACAATAGGTAAAGAGATTTAGATTTTGAGCTGAAGATCTTTTTGCAATAACATATCAAAAAACTCCGGTCCCTGACAGTCTCTGTCTAGTTCCTAGAGCTAGCAGCCATAAGTTCCTCATTCTCTGTCTTTCCCACAGGCAGAGAAACACACACACACACACACACACCACCATCATCTCAATCCTCAAGCACCACTTCCTAATTCCCCTTAGACTCGGCCCCAGACAATCTGCGGCCTTGTGTGTGTTTGAATGTGTGTTGGGGGGGCAGCTAAGAGTCCAAAGGGCTGAAGTCATCTGTGTAAACATATCACACACACATACACACACATACAGACACGCACGCACACATTTTGCCATGCCGCTTGTGGTTGACAGGCCACACAGGCAACAGCTAATTAGGAAGATGAAACACTAACCATTCATTGGCTGATCTTAAAACCACATGCAGAGCTTTGGTGAACACACACGCATTTAGAAAAACACTCGGACATATGCACGTGCTCACGTACACACACACACACACACTCTCACACACACACACACAAACACACACAAACACACACACGCATAATCAGTTTTTTTGGGGAACCCTCACCAGGCTGCACTCCATCCGACTGCTATAATTACATGTTAATAATATACCAATTACAGGTCTGGATTTAACAACATGACATCACAACTATTCCCTAATCTGACCAATTAGTTACCACGGAAACCAGCACCGCTGGCATCTGACAGGCCGTAATCACTATCAGACTGTGGGAATCTTTGCCTGTTTGTATTTGCGGCAGACAAATGAGCCAATTGACTAATCAACTCTTAGATTAAACATTGGCAAATGTCCTTTGTTGTGATTGATAATGCTCCGAGGTAGAATGTAGATAATAAATCAATCAGTAACACATTTTTCCAGTTTGCATGGCACTACATCTGATGAAGCTCAAAAGAGAACCATGTTAGCCAGAACATTTTTTCCACTTAGAAAGTAATGTAGATGATACCTGGCAAGCAAAAATAGCTGTAAACTGTTGTACATGAACACCTTAAAACATACATTCTTAAATCATGAGCTCATCTTAAGAAATGTATTAAAATTCATGACTTGCCTTCAAGATAATCAGCCTTTATTTTTTTGGTCAGAGCATACATATTGACAATTGAAACTTGAAGTAAATCATTTCCTCTGCCAAAGAGGTTATGTTTTCAACTGTGTCAGGATTACACAAAAAACACTGAACCTATTTGCACTGAACTTTGTGGAGGGATGGAGTATGGGCCAGGGAAGAACCCATTGAATTTTGTGGCAGATTCAGATCATTAACTATGAATTGGAATTTTCTTCTCTGAAGTCTGGTGAATGTTGTTTGACATTGCCTTCATGGAGTTGTGGGCTCTCTGAAAGCCCTACTACTTTTATAATGTGTTTTGAACAATTTCTAAATAAGACTCAAATGTCCTGAGTCAAATTCTGTAATTTCTCTCTACACTGTCTCAGTCCAGCTGCTGTGATGGAGCAGATAGGTATGCCGTCCTTGCTACAATAAAGGCCTGGTGAATCACAGCCATTAGCGCCATGCTTTATTCATGAGCCATACAGCACACAGACCTGTCGCTTCGGTAAATGAACATTATAATGACAGCTGTCTGCTCCCTTTTTAGTGATTTTAGTGCTGTCTCAAAAGATAAAGCATGCCAAAGAGCCCAAGCTTTAGATCCAAATTACAGTACATGTTAATCCAAATCAGCGTCAGACCCAGACCGAGGAGCTGTGTGCTCAGGCGGCTCGGCCGAAGAAAAAGACTGGTGGAACACTTGCCTCTGATTTTAGAGGAAGCTTTCAATTTGGCAGGAGATCTGCTAAAGTATTGATGAAGTCAGTCACTGATGGTGATGACAATGAAATCTCAGAGTATCAATTATTGATGAAATCATTAACATGTCAGCTGCAGACCGGAGACAGCGTGTCAATGTGTGTGCATATGCACTGTGCGCCTCTCCGCAGGGGTTCAGTAAAGCTCACTGAAAACGTCAGATATCAGCTGTCTCCACTTTTAAAGGGTTTGGTGTCGGTCTTTTAGCTTTTTGCTGAAACCACCACCAGATTAGAAAACGCTCATCAGAAGAGGTTGCTATAAAATCCTTCCCCCTGCCCCTCTTGAGACACTCTGGGAAACTTTGTCCAGCGTCTGTATTTACAGTGGACATGCATTGCTTGGTGGTGTCTGTGTCTGTCTCTTACAGGGTGCTTAGCCGCCTCACAGGGTTGTTAGTACTATTACTGTAATAGTAGCTAACCCTTCTATATTTAAGTGCCTGGTAGGGCTTAAAAGCTATTAGTGCTGTTATTGTCTTTGATATAGTGCACACACACACATACACACACACACACACACACACACACACACTCAGCTGAGACAAGACAGATGCTCATTTGGACGAGACGAAAAGGCTTAAATGATACTTGTATTGAATGGCTGACCTTATTCCGTGTCAAAGCTCTTGGTACTTACAGTAGGATGTTTAATAATACTTAAGGATAGAATTAGACCACATAGAGCACTCTTTGTAATGATTAGGTAAAATTGACCACGGCTGCCAACAGAATATTCTGCAGCTTTCCCAGATTGAAGTTTCAGTTTTTCTTGGCCTCAAACCCAAACTCATTTACAAGATAACATAATCAGTCAATTTCTATTGTTTTACCAAATAAACACGAAATAATGATGCAAGGGGCAGAAATGCTTGTTCTTCTCTGTTCATGTCGTGAGAACTTCCTCCACTCTCTTTCTTTACTTAAGTGCCTGACTGGTTCATGCAGCCTGGTATGGCTGCCATGTTTCAACGTGGCCAAAATAGTTTCTCCATCTGCTGCTGCTGCTGTCCCCCCCACCACCACCACCACCACCACTTGTGCGTATGAATGTGTGTGTGTTTCTGTGCCTCTGTGCATCGAGCGTTGAGTGTGTGTGGTATGCTGTGGTTCCTTGCTGGCGCCAAATTTAGTCCCAGGCAGTGAACCCTGGTCTCAATATTGCTCTTAAGTCCTATCAGCACCGAGCCAAACACTTGAACAGATGCCTCCCTGATCATGAAACATAACAGCGAGTATCGAAACACAAACTACACCACATCTCAGCTGCGATCTTTCTACTCTGGAAAGCAGATACACCTAAGAAACCTTAGACATCTGGCCAAGAAGAAGAAGAAGAAGAAGAAGAAGAAAAACATCGCTGATTTTCCACCAACTTTCCTCTGAGTTGGTTTCCCCAGAAAAAAAAAGAAAGAAAGAAAAAAAAAAGCTAATGGAATAAAATGAAACATGAACAGCGAGACAAATACAGCAGCGGTGCAAGACAGAAGGCACATTACGATTTATGTTTATTTTAGCTTTTGTTACCTTGGTTAGCATTTAGCCTCGCACCACAGAAGCAGATGACTACGTATGTGAAAATGTAGAAATACACACTGGACACTGGCTGTAATGGTGACTGTTCAGCTTCTGTTTAGGTTCACACGTAATAAAGTTATTTTGCTGAAGAAAAACCATAACCGCTGCTCTTTTGTATTGATGTTTCAGCCCGGGGTGGGAGGTGGGGTGGGGGGTCACCGTGACGCTGAGCACCTCTGCTGGTGCGTTTGCGTCATATGAATTCATGTGTCAAACAAACTTGAACTTTGGTTTGGCGCAAAGAGACAAAAAGACAGGCAGATACTGTTTTCCCGCCCACTACGTGTGTTTGAATTGACCTGAATGGGACATGAATGAGTCATGTGACGAGGCAGAGAGAGCGAGAGAGAATGAGAGAGAGAGAGAGAGAAAGAGAGTAAGACGGACAGAGTAGCAGTAACTCTGAGGTGCCACAAAGTTAGGTGGGATATTGCGCTGCAACTGACAGAAAGACATGAAGTCAAGGTGAGACAAGGGCGGCCACGAAAGCCCTCGCAGACAAACGGACGGCAGGACAAACAGACAGACGGTTGACAGAAACATGGAGAGATGAGCGGATCGTAAAAAGCAGACAGTTAGAGCACACTTGGACTTACCGCCAAGGCCTGCAGCCTCTCTTTGTGGAGCTGAGCCTCCTCACACGACATCCTGAGGGGGGAAGCAGGGGAGAGGGGGGGGTGGGGGGTGAAAGGAGAACGAGAGGTGAGATCTGGGAAGGACGGAGAGCCGGAGTCCCTCAGTGAGAGATAAGAGAAGGGGAGGAAAGCAGAGGAGAGAGGGAAGAGAAGGAGAAGAAGAGGAGGAGGAGGAGGAGGAGTATCCAGATGAGGTTCTTCCTCAGCAGTAATCCAACCACAGAGAGGAGACAGTGGGAGAAGGAGCTCGCGCTGAGAGGAAGCAAAGATCTCTCATTCACTGGCCATGTGCCTCACACTCAGCCCGCTGCTCGCATTTTCTCTCTCTCTCTCTCTCTCTCTCTCTCTCCGTCTCTATCACCCACTCTTTCTTTTGCGCTCCCTGTCTCTCCTCCCATTTGTCCCCTCCCTCCCTCTCTTTTTTAGGCATGAGCCATGTGTGATTAAACAGCTGGGAGGAGCAGCTGAGAGAGAGAGAGAGAGAGAGAGAAGAGGAAGGGGAGGAAGAGAGGAGCCATGGCATGAAGGTAGTGAGGGGTGGGGGGTGGGTGAGAAGAGAGGGAGAGAGAAAAAGGAATGAGAGAGAAAGAAAGAAGAAGAGCAAAATAAAAAGCAGAAGTAAGGAAAAGGGAAGCAGAGGAGTAATCTGTCATATCTGAAAGCTGAGGGTTCTGAAGAAAAGAGGAGACACAGAGAAATCGAACATTAACAGCTTGAAGAGCGAATCATTCCTTTTGCATTGATATTTATGTTCTGTCCAATAACTTTACTTTTTCTTCTTCTCTACTCTTCTTTCCTTTCTATTACTGAGAGAAATCAGTAGATCAATATACACACTGGTCCTATCATAAACATTGATCGCTCAGTTCAGAGCATCATCTAAAATAAACGTTGACATGGAAGGTAAAAATTACTTGAAAATCTATACTAGAAAAACTTTGTCTCTCTCAGTAACTGCATTTTCTTTTACACTTTCACTGATATTAATGGCTACTTATGATGTTTGGTGACATCTGAAATTTCTTTTGAAAGCATCTTCAGGACTGTGATACACAAGCTAATCAATTAAGCCATAATGTCTTCTCTGGGCTGCGTTTCCATTGTCTCACAACTGGAAAACTGGTCACAATATTAAGTCTAAACTCAGGGACAAAGAATACTTCCATGAGCTTTGGACACTAATGATGTAATGTAATTGCATTCCTCAACCACAAATCTTCTTTAAGCAATAATAGAAAATTAAAATGACAGTTTTACACCTTTAAACGAAACCTTGTTTTGGGAATTCATTGTGGGTTGGTGTGTGTGAAATCACTGGCCTTCACCCATATGTAATTAAGGTTAAAGAATAGCTGCTGCTATTAGAGCTATTGCTGTAACTATGCGCTGTTTCTGCTGCTAACAAACCAATCACAGGCCACCACTGCACTGCAGGCTGAAAACAGACACATGCACTGCTCATGGTCGGGGTCACGCAATATCTTTGCCAAAAACCTGCACGGTGCGTGTTACAGGCATTTAAAGATACTGCGAATGTTTCAATAAAAAATTCTAAGAGACCACATCAGGCAATGATGCCGCCCACACACAAACAATCCTACCGCTGACTCTCCGGGTTCTATTTCTGGTCACTCTGGTCATACATTTATTCCAGAGCCTTTCAAAGTCAAGTCAACAGACGCCTCAGAAGGATCAGGAGAGAGGAAGAATAGAAAGAGGAAGATAATTGTGTCACTTTGTGAATTGATATATGCAGATGAACGTCAGTGGAAATACAAACCGCAAAGGCATCACTTAAAAAGGCACGACACAACTTCACACACACACACACACACACACACACACACACACACACACACACACACACACACACACACACACACACACACACACACACACACACACAGATAAAAGCAGAGTTTGAGTAAATGGGTCACTGTTACCTGTGTCCTAATTTTCTTTCCTCCCTGTTTTAACTCTCTAGGTTCACCTGGGTCCCATCCATTCACCTTCTCTTTCCTCTCTTACACCCCTTTTCTTTACTTCTTTTCCTCCTCTCTTTCACTCTCTCTTTTCCTACATCCAATCTTTTTTTTTCCTTACCCCTCTTCCTCTTCCTTCTCTCCTTTGTGGCATATCTTTTTCCATATCCAATATTTTTTCCTCTCCTCCCTCCTTTCTTTCCCCCTTCATGTATCTTCTTGTTCTCTCTTTCATTTCCTTTCCTACCTCTCTTCCATGGTGCATTTCTGCCCACCATCCCTCCTTTTATGTCCCTCTTTCCACCCCTTCTTTTCTACCCTTCCTTGTGCTCTCATCTCCTTTCATCTCATCTTCACTTCCCATGGCCCCATTCCTGCTCATCTCCACTCCACCTGTCCCTCCTCCTATCTATCCATTTCTTCATCCCACTTTCTTTTGCCCCCCTTTCCTCCTTTCTCTCTCTCTCCTTTTCCTCCATCCCTCCTTCCACAAGCAGACGTCCTTATAAGGAGAAACAGCAGCAGCAGTCCCGGCCAAGTCTTTGGGGAATACAGAAGCATGTAACACACACACACTCACACACACACACACACACAGACACAGACACAACAGCCACTGCGTTACTCCGAGAGAAAAAAGTGTAAAATAAATAAGTGCAGCTGGAGAGTATCTGTCCTGTAAAGGCACTGTGCAGCTGCAGGACTTGAATATTCAGCCGTCAGCTATAGCTTCTATATCTGCATGTGAACTATTAAACATTTACAGGGTTTTTTTTTTTTTTTTTTTTTTTTATGCGTAGCGGCATTAGGGAGCTGTTAACTGTCAAGTCAACCACATTTGGTGACTTGACTTGTGTTATCATATTGTTTCCAAGCGAATGCACACAGACAGGTCTCTTGCAGATTCATCGATTCAGGAGTGCTGACGTTTTTATTTGCTGCACTTCTCTGGAGTTTTGCGGTTTTTGTGCATGAACAGTAAAAATATCTTTTACTCTTCAATTTCGTTTTAAAGTGCAGAGCCAAAATTATAGAGAAACTTCTTAAGAAGTATTTATTTCTGTTTTTACTTATTGGATATTTTATATGAGTGGTATATTCTAGTATAGTCTTTTTTTAAAATAAACACATACTGCATGTATAAGATTGCGACAAGTCCTGTACAATGCAAACAAAAGTAGAACAAACAGCATATGATGCACGTTTCTAATTTGTCTTTAACAGTCTTATTTAACACCTGTCAGATGAGATCCATTCAGCAGTTTATTCTTCAGAATTTGAGTTATTGCTAACAGCTGTTTGGGCATTTAACCCTTCAGCTACACATTTGCCGTATTGCGAGACTAACTTATTATTCTGGTGTATGAGTCTTTTGATATTTTTCAGTGCAGCACTCGTGTTCTATAAATTATCGTGTGATGAGGTAAACCACTATTACACTGTTTAAAGCTGCACTAATCAAAATTTTGAAAAAAAACAATGCACCAAAGGACTGTGAATAATGTTACTCATACGGAAAAAACCCACAGAGAATTAATCCCTGATTCTACAGATTCCCTCAGTTTACGGACCGTTTAAGCATCTATAAGCTGATTATTTTTGGTTTTATGACCCACAACTTCACTGTTTTGGTTCACCCTCGCTGTTCCAGTATCTTTTCCAGATGCAGCAGCCAGCTGTTTTCAGCCAAAAAGGTCTAGTGACTCTGCCCAGCAGAGACTGCCCTCCCACAAAAAAACCCCAAGCACAAGCAGTGTATTACAACCCATAGTTACATTTTAATGTTAGGCGACCTCTAGAGGTTCATGTTAGACAGCATCAGTCTTTTCAGCAAAAGCCCCAAACTGACATGTTGACATTCAAGCGACAAAGTCCTATAGAGGCCATTGTAGTTACAGCGTGAGCAAAGGAGGAAGTCAGGCGAAAAAGTCCACGTAAGGAGGAGGTTGGGATGGGCCAGCAAAACATTGGAATTAAAATGGTTTATCTGTAGCATATCTTCTGCAGCTGTAGGGGCGCTGATTCAGGAAACCCGTGTCGTACCAGAGGGCCGGGACAAGTCACGTTTTTTTAGGTTGGAGGTCTTGTTAGCCCAGCACCAAAGGGCACACAGACTAAATGAGCAACTAGCTGGTGAACATAGTGAGGCATTTAGTGTCTTAAGGAGCTGATGTGTCCGGAGTTGAGAGCAAAACAGAGCTAAAAGGAAAGAGAATATTAAATTTACATTCATTAGGTGGCGAGAGACCCAATTTACAAATCAGTACTAATGTTGCTTTGTTTCTGCTGGATGTAAAAATGGGCAAACGTTTGCTCACCACAACAATTGTATAGGATAATATGTCAATGTCGTGTTGTGTTTAGAGCTTGTTGCGCTGCCCTGAAATGGCCAGAACAAACGATTCACGCTGGGGTTAAGTTCGTTATGATTTCTTGGAGGTTCATCATTTGACATTAGCATGCGTTTTTCATTGTTACTGTCGGTATAGTCTGAACATACAACAGCAGGTTTTGCTACCTGTGTAATGTTGTAGTAGCCTACTGTGAATGAAGTTTTTCATTCTTTTGTCCGACACATTCTGTTGGATAAAACCTTCAGCACTATTTGAACATACCATAGGTTTAGTTGAGGTTCACCCTCATGATACTAAAATAAAAACTGTGCTGTTTCACTCGGGATCCCACCGTCATTACAACACACCGCTGCATCTTTAATGTGGGCACATGCAGGTTATAGACCATGACCTGTTTGGAGTTGAGGTAACATAAAGCTTATGAAACCCGGCTCAGTTTTGCAGCTGTCTGAATTTACAGCCAGTCGATGACTTATATCTGGCCTCTCTGAGAGCGTCTGTTTGACCTGGATTTACACCAATCACATCATTATGTTGGCTGCTCACACTGTCATTACAAATCACACTTCCTGACTTTAAGGTTATTCTACTTCTTGAAAACATTATGTATTTTATCTCCTCTCTCTCCCTTCTGTCTTCACTCCCCTAAAATGCTGCCACCCCCAACCCCTTAATTCTGGTGTCAGCTACGTTGGTTGGTTGTCGTTGGAGACAACAGCATCATTGTTCCTCTGCATCGCCACGACGACACAATGACCTCACTGCACAGCCAGCCCAGCCCCGCCTCCCCCACATCCCAGCCCAGAGGTAATGGCCTCCAGATGTGGAACCAAAAGCAGGAAAATACACACGCACACACACACACAAATATAACAACATGCAAAAAGTAAGTAGGAGGCAGAGAGAATGAGCAAATATGGACAAAGAAAATAA